CATTCTGTTTTTTACTTCTCCAGGTGCATGATCTTCCTTTAGTTCCTTAAAAACATGAAACTCATTAGTGTCCCAAGGTCTTTGTACTTCTTGTTCTCTTCTCATTTATGACTCAGTTCAAATGACATTAGCTTAGCAAAAAAATCTCACCGGACTACTCTAAAGTATCATCCAACTTTCATATCTATAAAAGAAATAATCTTATTTTATTATCTACCTAGCCTTGTCATATGACATTCCATTTGTTTGTTTATTTGCTTATCATCTCTTCTCTCTATTTTGATGTTGGATGAGATCAGGAATGACATCTGTGTTCACTGTTATATCCTCGGTGCCTGCCCCAAATGGTGCTCAAGAAATACATGCATTATGTGTTGCCTTCCTTGAGAAGGCAACTAAGCCCATTTTCCTTCTTGGCTATCTGTACTCTCTCTTCTCCATTATGTTGTTTGTAAAGAATAGTGGAGTAATAGAGATGGAAATAGAAGTTTTTGATTTATATGAAGCACACACAAGAAACATGACAAGATACACACAACTCAGATGGTCACCTGGCAGGTTAATGATGTTGGATTTGTATTCACAGCAAGTCTCTGTTGACCCTTCTGAACTTTGGTTCTAAAATTTTTAAAACAAACCTTTTCTGATGGGCTGGGATTCTCTTCTTCTTCTTGTTTTCCTCAATGGTATTTTTATTCACTGTATTACTTATAAAACATAAAGTCTGGTTCCCATCCTTACATCTTCACTCAGTTCCTGCCCCTATCCCCAGAGAGGTTTCAATAACATATTCATATTTTTAAATACCCTAGGCATTTTGGCTTGCAATAAGTCTTCATTTGGACACTTGAACTACCTAAAATGGGCCAACTGCCTGATTGATTCTTACTCACAGTTCACAGTTTTCAAGAGAAGCTATAGTGCTTTGTGTTAGGAATGCTTTACAACATAACTATGTGTAGAATGATGAAACTACTGACTGTCAATCCCCTGATTCATTAGCGTGTTTTGAAATGAGAACCAGAAAATGTACAAAAACTCTTGGCTCCTGGATGAATGTCTCTGTGCACGTATCTGGCATTTCACAAGTTTTTTTGTTTATCAAAGTTATTGTTTCACTGTCAATGTCACGAGGTCCTTTCCTCTTGAATATTTTGGGGGGGATTAACACAAGGCCTGGTTAGTCACGGATCAAATCAGGCATGAGACAATCTGGAGAAGGGGCCAAGAGCTTGCCTGCCAATAGGAAGGAAGGAAAGAGGAAGCACAGTAATAAACACAGGTAATCCAAATCAAGTTGTCAAACCAATGATGTGACCACAAGAGAGCAGAGCTCATGGGTCAGCTGAGATTGGAACATGGCAAGGAAGAACACCAGTGGTCCAGGTCAAGATAAGACAATGAGTAATAGAAGGGAAAATGTACTATTGAGGACTGTGAAAAACAAGCAAACATTATGTTTTACATTCATTGATTTGTCCAACCATGGATTACCAGGTAATTATTGAGCACTTACTTTATTTCATTTAGTCCAATGACACATGCTAGTGTGTTGAGCCATTTGTATCTTGCCCTTCTCCAAAGGTATTCAGTTGGACCATTTTGCAATTGATAGAGTTGCTCTAACAGTCTTCTTAGCCTCCTAACTTCCTATTGCTGGCTTTTGCTCTTCAGTGAGGGGGACAAAGGCGAAGTGGTTGTGTGAGAAAAGGCAGAATGTGGTGCATGTTGCTCTGCCACAATTGATTTACCAGTGAACTAGATGTTGGACAGGATAGTGAGAGAAGAGGAAGTGTCTTTGCTGATTCTTTCTGGCAAGAACTCAGTTGAGCTTTGGAGTAGGAAAGTTTCCATTCTATGCTCCTGAAAGTGTCTCTGTACATGGTTGGCAGCATACTCTCTGATTAGCAGGGCTGGGCAAAGGCAGTGTTGTTCTGTGAATCTTTGGTGCCCTTTCTTCTGTTCTCCACTTTTAGGATATACCATAAAATTAATTCCCTGGCCCTCTTGTGGTTGAGGAGGCCAAATGGCTAATTCTGACCAAAGAACAGACATGAAAAGTGACATGGGTCTTTTGTGAGCTGGAGCATTTAGTTGAAGGTGTGAGACCTTCCAGAGCACTCTTTTCCTTCTGCCATATCTGTGGTATTCAAATTTCATGAGAAAGAGGTGGGAATGGGAACATGTTGGCCAAAGGGTACAAATTTTCACTTAGGAGAAATAAATTTTGGAAATGTATTATACAACATAGAGACTATAGTTAATAATAATACGGTATATTTGAACAGTAACAAAAGAGTAGATTTTAAATGTTCTTACCACAAAAATAAATATGAGGCAATGAAAATATTAATTTGATTTAGTTATTCCATCATGTATGCATATATCAAAATATTACCTTGTGTTCCAAAAACATACAATTTCGATTTGTCAATCAAAAATAAATCTTACAAAAGAAATTCATGGGATTTGAATAAGAAAAAATGTCTAAAAAAGGAAGATGATAATGAAATATAGGTTGCGATATATAGATCTAACCCTCTAACTTCCCCCAAATGCTGTAATCATGAAGCATATAGTCTGTTCCTACTATGTGTCATTTCCCTCTTCTATATCACCTCCAGAACATTTTCAGCTACCCAGTGCCAAGAAGAATGTATGTCTAAAGCTTTTTAGGACAAGCCTGTCTGTATATTTTCATTCCTTTGTCCTCATAAGTACTTTATAATTTTCTAGGCATGTTTCTTCTTTTTTTGGCTTGAAAAAATATGTTCAATTTGCCCAGGGTCTTCATGGTTTCTAGATTTTTTTATGAATAGAAGAATTCTTAAAGTATTTTAAATGATGTTCTGTGGAGAATGAGGAAAGGAGAGTCAGGCTACACACAGGGAAGTTTTAGAAGTTCATCTTGCTTAAAGAATAGTAAAGAAGAAGCATGTTCAATCCTTCAGTTAAGACATTGAAAATGTTTGGGCTTAGAGTGTAAAGTAAATCAGAGAGAGCTTTTCTGTCATTAATAGCTAGCTAAAAGAATGATTTGAGTTGATGGGAGAAATGCTGAATACTAGTACTATAAGTGGACAGAGGAGGAAAGTGGCCATGACACTATCTTTCGCCACTGGGGCACATTGTCTCCTGAAAGATGCCTGCAAAATAGTGTAATGGAGAAAAATCTAATAGAGCCCCCATGCTTCACTCAATCTATTAAATAATAGCATGTGAGATGCATTTCTGAGGTGATCCAGGGTTCTGATGAGTAGAAGGAGTGGAGGAGATCTTCAAGAGGCTGAAAAGCCCAGCCAGGGGATGGGGCCATGACAGTTCCCTTTTGCTGATTTGGATGATGCTTTGAGGGTTGAGTTAGCACCCTGGACATGTAGGTGCTTAGCAAATGTTCAACGTGTGAATACATGCATGAGGAATATCCTCACCAACAGTAATGATTCCCAGGGAAGATGTCCTACCCTGAAAGGAAGGGAATGGGCATCTTGTTTCCTTTCCTAATATACATATGTCTTTTTTAAAAAAAACAAATATATATGTGCTTATGAAAGCCTAACAGTCCTCATGGGTGTTGACTTCTTGGACTAAATTTGGGAGGCTTTCTTTGCAGCTCCCCTACTCTCTAGCCTGTAATACTACACATTCTTTTTCTTCAGATTATGGTCTGTGCAGCAACAGAGGCCTCATGTGAGAGAGCCTGTTAGAAATGCTGGCTCTCAGAGTGGTCCCAGACCTAGTCCCAGACTTAGTGAATCTTAATTTGCATTTTACCAAGATTCCCAGGTGATTAATATGCACATTAAAGTTTAAAAGGCTTTGCTGGAAATGATTATAAAGACAATGTGTTACTTCCTACCAGTAATACAACTTGAAAAGAAAGGCAAGAGTGAGTAAATAAGTAATAGTTCAGATCTATGAGCCAGGAAAGGAAACTATTGAAAAGTGTGAGGGGATGTTCCAGAGACTCTCGTCTCCTCTACCTGCTGAGCCAGCCACTGGCATCCCTTCCCTGGGGAGGGATGTCCCTAAGAGACATGCTATTCAGGCTGCTCAGGAGAGCTAGTCCATGACTTTGTGGACCACAGTAAATACAGTAAGGAGAAGTTGTCCTTTGTTGATTCTTAAATCCACTGCTGGATAACTATTGTTTCTGAAAAGGTTAAAGGCAAATTAAATATTCAGAATCCTTAAGAAAAACTGAAGATTCCTTGATATAAATATATATTATTTAGAATATAATTTATGATCAAAATATTTCTTTAACTGAGCAATTTGTTGCTCACCTGAGTACATAAGAATTATTCAGATACCTGGTGTCATTTATAGAATTAATAAATGCTTAATATGGGCCTATAAAGTGCTATACTCTATGATGGGGTTGTTCTCAAACTTGAACATGCTTTGATGCTACCTGCACAGTTCATAATTCACAGATTACTGGGTTCCATCTCCAGAGTTTCCAATTTAGTAAGTCTAGGTAGGGCCACAAATTTTGTATTAGTAACAATTCTCAGGTCAATCTGACAACTGATGATGCTGGTGCCAGGCATTCTTTGAGAACTGCTATTACAGAAACTTTTCCTATTAAATAGTGGGCCTCACCAATTGATTCACGTGACCTCTGTCTCGCTCAAGAACCAGCTTTGGCCTTTGACTTGATTTCCATTTAGAATGTTATGTTATTGTTCATGCTTGCAACTTCAGCCCAGGAAATAGGATTGCTTTGGGAAGGGGGATTCTGATAGAGACTGTAAGGTGTCCCGCAAAACTCTCTTTTCTCTTTGTTCTATAGTAGTAAAAGCCTTGATCTTTAGTTGGGCACATGGCTTCCCAAAATAGTGACTACATTTCCAAGCCTTTCTTATACCTAGATGTAACCATGTGAATACGTTCTAATCAAGTAGATGTGGGCAGATGTGCTGGAATTTTTGAATTACACTTTTAAAAAGACAGTTATCTTCTATTTTCTTGTCTTTATCTTGGTGCTTTGGATACAGATTTAGATGCAAATGAAGAGAGTACCACCTTGGACCAAGAGGAGACATCAGCCAAGTATGCTATAACACAGAAATGAAGGAAGACTTGCTACTTGACATTATGGAGCTACCACTCTGGCTGCTGCTGGCTGATCTGTTGGGTTAGAATGATTACCTTTCTTAGTGAGGCCACTGTTATGTTGGGGCTACATTACAGAAGTCTAAATAACATTTTACCTAATACCAGGGTCATTATGACTATCCTATTTACTGGAGATAGCCTCTGAAGATGCTTTCAGGATAAAAAAAAAAATAAAGGGCTTGGAAGAACAGCAGAAATTATTTATTTTGTCTTTTTTTTTTCAGTTGTATCTGCTCAGAAGGAAAAACTATGCATCTTAGTTACTTTCTCATTACTGAAATAACCAACATACCCAATACCCACAGCTTAAAGAAGAATTTTATTTTGGTTACCTGGCTCCAAGGTAGAAATGGCATGGTGGAAGGGCTTGGGTGGAGAACAACTGCTTATCCCATGGGATCCAGGAAGCAGAGTGAGAGGGGAGAAGCCAGGGACAGGCATGTACCCTTCCAGGCTACATTCCCATTGGATTAGGTATATCTTAGTCATTTTCCCATCAGTGGGACAGAATATCCAACCTGCAACTTAAAGTAGGAGAGGTTTATTTTAGCTCATGTTTTCAGTCCAAGGTTGCCTGGCTCCAAGGCAGAAACAACATGGTGGAACAGCATAGTGGAGGACAGCTGCCCATCCCATGCAGCCAGGAAGGAGGGAGAGAAGGGAGGAGCTGGAGAAGAGACTATAACCTCCAGGTCACTCTCTTAGTGCCCACTTCCATCTAGGCCCTACCTCCTAACAGCACATTCAGCTACCGAGCTCATCAATGGATGAATCTACTTGTGAGTATAGCTCCTCCATAGTCCAATATACTTCCTCACACATGAGATGTTTGGAGACATTTTAGATCTAAACTGTTGTGATACCTTGGTTGTCGAACTGAATTCGTCCCAAATTTGTGTTCAAATACCGAGAAGTTTGAGAACTGAACATATTTTTCCCATAAGAAATAATGGAAAACCAAATAATTGGTACTGAGGCCCAAAGCTTACACTTATAAATTCATTTTTCCAGAACTTTAAGAAATTTTGCAATGGTTTCTTTCTTTGACTCTATCCTGAGTCTCATAGTTTTTATCTTAGCTTTACTGCTGATATCACTAACTTTCTTTGGAGCCATGGTTACAATATTTTATGCAAATAAAGCACAAAAAAGCACAATTGAAAGTTTTGACACACTAACACAAGCACCATATGTTGTCTGGGTGAGAGTGGCACTTAGATGGAAGCATCACTACGTTGTGTCCGTGGCAAGACTTTACACATAACTTACTCTTGGACCATACAGTTTATTCAAGTTGGATTTTTGGCTCTACCACCAAGCAAAATTATGAACACTGAGCAGATTTTTTTTCAAACTTTGTTGTTTGTGTAGTGGAAAGCTCCAACTTGGAGCCATTTGAAAACTGAGCTATCGCTGTACTTTTCTACCTTAAAAAATGATTATGGAAAAAAATAGAACGAAGTTGATAGGAAGTTCTTAAGAGGCTTAATATTAATCCAGACCAAATCTTACAAAACAAAATCTAAGCACGCTATGCCCTGTATCTATATATATTTTTTCAGAAGAAGAGCAATGCTTATAGTGTAAACTTATTGAACTGTCAAGAGAGGAAAATCTCATAGTCTCACAGTACCTTAACTTGGGCAAGGAATTTGAGATAAAATCTCTCATGAAAGCTCTGGGAATAAGACAAAGAAATGAAGATTGAAATTCACTGCAGCTAGAATTGTGTTTGTTTGATCAACTATACTTGGAATGTTAGTCAGTGGTCCTAGTCTAACTAAATACATCATTTAAGACGTTTTATTGAAAATCCCAGAAAACCCACCTAATACTGGCTTAGGCAATAAAGACACAGTTATTTCTCATGAATAGAGTTCTGGAGACAGTCACAACAAGCTGGCTCAGAAGCTCTTCCACTTTCAGCATATTGTTCTTGCCTTCATGTTTGTTACTATGTGGTCATAAGATGATTGCCATGGATCCACACATTACAACCACATTCAGAGGTAGATGTTATGAAATAATCAGTGTTTATAGATCACGTTTTAGGTCAATCTTGCTTTTAAAAAAAATAGGAGCAAGAGATTTCCCTCATTCTTCCTTAGAGATATCTTATTATGTGTCAAGCCCACATTACCTGCAAAGGAAGCTGAAAAAATGGATTTCTGGATTATTTAAAACTTTATATCAAAAAGAGAACAAGGAACAAGAAAATTGGGGAAATGGCTATTGGATAAATTGCAAATATTTTTCCTACCTTACTGGGAAAGAGGCAGGTATTTTGTTGGGTTTTGTGTGCTAGCATAAGAAGACCTTTATCAACAACTTTTGAAAAGGCATGAAAGTCATGATTATAGTATTTGCAAATGACAGCTGGTGAGGACATGAAATATATGGAACTTCAGAATTTGGTTTCATAAATTATCTCTTCCAAAGGTAAAACCTTTACATTTAGATGAAATATATTAACTAAGCAGAGAGGTATACCCTGCTTGACATCAGGTACTATGACAAAACCTATGGAGGGGATACTTGGCACTAATTTCAATGAGAGAGAGAGAGAGAGAGAGAGGGAGAGAGAGAAGTTTTTTTTTTTTTTTTTTTTTTTTTTTTACTTAATTCATGGAAATAAAAACACATATTTTGACTAATTTGACCAGAGATGACCTTTTTCCTTTTTAAGGTAATTTTATCTTTGCTTCTTTTACTCCTTTATTCATTTATCCAACAGCCTACTGATTGTGTCATATGTGCAGGACACAGTGCCAGATTCTTGTGGGGGGGAAGTATGATACAAAAGATAGAAAACAATAGGCGGTATAGCCATTTAATTAAAAAGTATAATTCTCCAAAAATAGGAAGTCAAAGACACTGTGAACCTGGATCAGTAGACATTTGGACCTAAGCTTAGGGATTCAGGAAGATGTCTCTGAGGTAGAGGTCTTCAGGGATCAGAAGATAAGAAGAAATTGGCCAAGCAGGTTCAGGGTGAGTAAGTATGAATGGGCAGAGAAAACCCAGCTTGGTTTGAAGGTGCAGAGGCAGAGAGCAGCAGGGAGAGTTTGAGGAAATGAAAGACCTGTGTAGTTTTCAGAGTGGAACTGGGGGAGGGTGTGAGAGGCAGGAAAGTATCTAGAGATGAAGCTGCAGAAATGAGCAAAGTCTTTTACAATGTTATGGACCATGTTAAAGACGTGATCTTTGCACTTAAAACATTACAATGTATGAAACAGTTCTCAGCAGGAGAAAAGCATGATCACTTTTTCCTGCAGAAAGGCCCCCTGGCTGTGGCTATGGGATATGGATGTGGAGAAACCGGCTAATAAGTCACTGTCATTTTTGTTGGAGAGATGCTAGCACACCTGATCTTGGAAGGAGAGAGAGGAGTAGATATTTAGGAGTCAGAGATGGACTAGATGGGGTGTGAGGCAGAGAAAGTTTCAAGACTGACTCCTAGTTTTCTGACTTTTGCAATTGAGTGGATGGATTTGCTCTCACTGAGAAAGGAATATTGGAGGAAGAGTAGGACAGGAGGAAGGGGCAGAGTCCCTGTGGACACATCTGGTTGCCTGGGAGATACCCAAGAGGCGTGGTCAACAGTCAGCTGGCAGCTGGATTTAAGGCCTGAAGCTCTGAAGGCAGCTTTGGAGAGAGATCAAAAGTGTCACTTGCTCAGAGACAGTGAGGAATAGGGGTGGGGTGTAGTTGAATGGATGGAAGTCCAGAAAGAGAATAAAAGCAGGTCTAGGGCCAAGCCTCGAGGAAGAGAAGAGGAAGCAGACCTGGAAAGCATCGCTGAGGAGGCCAGAGGGGAGAGGGCAAGGGGCAAGGAGAGGGTACATGACCACAGAACATGTACATCTTTCTGTGAGAAGCGTGGAGGGATAGAAGGAGCTAAAGGCTTCCTCACCTAATCCTAATGTGCAATTGGAATACCTTCCCCAAATTGGGCATAGTTAGTGAAGCATGTTGAAAACTCCCTATTCTCAGCATTTGAATTAATTGTGTGTTTCATCTTTGATCCATGTCACTTTGTAAACCACTCAGTCTAAATTATTTTCAGAGGTTGTGTTTTTTTACCGTGTGTGAGCCAGTGGCCCAGAATAGAAAATATGCTCCTCACTTCTAGACGGTTGCGTTTCAAGACTCTCCAGCGACCAGCCACAGAGCTGAGGCTGTCACGGGTTTGCCGCCGCCTGTCTTCTCACTTCCTCTGCCCACTGCCATAGCACAGCCAGGCAGCAGGCTAGGTGAGCAACTGGCTGACCTTGGGTTGGCCCCAATCCACTGTGCATTTCAAAGCAGATTAGGAGACACTTTGAAAAAGCCCTTACCCAGCCTCAGGTGTCCTTCCCAATGCCTGAGGTAGAACTAGAGATGAGTTCCATGAATTGTTAATGCTGATCTGAAATAGAGCTTTCAATAATTCCTGTCCTCAGACATCTCTGCTTTGGCTGAAAATCACATTCCAAAGGAGGGCAAAAGGCAGTTCTTAAAAAGAATGTCCAGAGCTGACCACTAACAAATTGGAGAGATGAGAAATTCAGGTGTAAAACACAGATTTATTTTGTTATATTTCAGGAGGATAATTTTTCATTCTTACATATGAATCTTGCCTGAAACTTCTCCCCCTTTCTGGGAGTTGGAGATGATTTCTTCTGAAGGATTTGGAGATTATATATATCAATGTCGGGGATGGAGCCCCCAGAGCCTTGCACCTCTTAGGCTAGCGCTCTATTACTGAGGTACCTCCCTGGCCTGTGTTAGTATTTTTAATTGCTTTGGTCAAACAGCTTTGGTGAGATATTGTAGAATTTTGTGTCCTAAAACAATATAAACACACAAGTCTGGCTGAGAAGATTTTTTATGTCCAATCTCCCACATGTGCCGTGTGTCACTGACTTCCTGTGAATTCTCCCCATCCCCTCCCTCCCAGGCCCACCCACCTGCTTCTCCATTTGCTATTTCTTCACTCTACGGCCCACTGCCTTCCCCTTCCCTTGTTCAGTGAATCCCCTCCAGGTGAGGTGACACATGGCAGTGAAAGAGAATCAACAGCAGCCAGAGTTATTCCCTAGGGATATTTGCCACACTGAAATTTCAGTATTATTTTAGTGGGGAGAGGGATGAATAGAATGCTTGTAGGAAAAAAATTTCCCTTCCCAATTTGAAAAAAAAAAAAAA